TGTGTCTCGATCCCAATACATAACTCTACATCCCAGGATAATCAAACCGGGAACCTTAAAGCCCTAGTCCGTGCTTTTATCACAGAGGCAAAACGAGGTTTTGGCAGGGGGGAAACACCCTTTAGTTTTTCTGGCCCCTTTAACTCATGGGTTGAGGGTCCATCCCTTGGACCAGGAGGTGATTGTTTTAATTCCGGGTTGGGGCACATGCCCGGGTGTAGGCCCCATGCACGCCCCACATTGGGGATCGAGCCCCACAACCCGCGCATGTGCCCTGACCGGGGAATTGAACCATGACCACTGAGCCATGCTGGCCAGGCCAAACCCTTGTCTTTTAACTCTGCATTTTTCGCTTCGTTTTGTGGCCTTTCTGAGCAATCATGCTTCTAACTTGAGAAATTTAGCATAACCGTATAGAGAAATTAGAAGAAACTGCTAGAATTTCATTGAAACTTTTTATTGACCTCTGATGAAGACCAACTTGTTTTTATTCTGGAATAATAATAATTTTACAACGTGAAAGCATCTATGTAATAGACCCTTACCAAAGGTGGGTCTTAGAGGCGAGGGTTCCCCCTGGCAGTTGGATTTGGTTGTCCCTGAGATGTCTCCGTAAACGCCCAGTGTTTTTATTTCTCGGCAAATAACTTCACTCCTTTTCAGAGTCTATTTCTTCCACGTTTAGGTATTACTTGACTGGGCCAGCCAATCATTAGTCGCATTTTATAAGAAGAAACTTGAACTGAAGGAGGACATTGTTGAAAGGCTCTGGGTCTACGTAGATAACATTCTTCATAGCAAAAAACTGCAGCACCTCCTCAAAAATGGAAAGACCATTACCCTCCAGATCTCCCTGGTCAAGGTAGGAGTGTCTTGTATTGTTCTGTGTGTGTGACATGCATCTCTCTCGACTTCCTGTCAGCGCGGGAGGCTTCTTATTGGTGTTAGGGTCAATTATATCAGTTTGCAGGAAATGTCAAGGTAGGGGAGAAAGAAATAAAATCCTATATAATAAAAAGCTAATATGCAAATTGTCCCCTCCACCTGGAGTTTGACCAGGGAGCAGGGCCGGCCGGCCAACCACCTGCGGCCCCTCCCCCCCAGCTGGCCCCAGCCCCAATCAGCCCCCCAAAACAATTAGGGGCAGGGACGGCCTGCCAACCACCGCGGATCGGCCCGATTGGGGCAAGCCGGCCGGACCCCACTGTGCACGAATTCGTGCACCGGGCCTCTAGTTAGAGTTATAATAACGACCGTTGTTCATCGAACAAGTATCGTGTGCTCTACGCTGGGCTGAGTACTTTGTTGTTTAATATTCAGAAAAAGTTTAGAACTCTTGCATGAAGTGGCTGTTGATTATCTTTTTAACTGGAAGAGATAGCCAGCAGATGATGTTACTTTGTGACACCCCCCCCACCCCCACCCGTCCACCCCCACCCCCTTCCTGTCGGCCTGAAGGGGAGATCAGAGGCCAAAATCTGGTTCGGAATTTCCTCAGATTCCTGACTCAGAGTGATTTTTGAAGTCTCAGATGAGAATTATGACCTTCGTTGTCAAAACGGGAGTATTTGCGAAGACGCTGGGCATAGCTGGTGACCCTAGAAAGCACTGATAAGGAGCGCTTTGTGTGGGCCAGGCTCAGAGAGGTTAAGTAACTTGCTGAAAGCCACACAGCGAGGAAGTGGCCCAGGCCTGCCTGACGGCCAGGCTGGTGCTGTTCGCCCCACACTGCCTCGCCCACGTGCGTGCAGGAAGAGGGAGAAGAGCAGGGGAGGCTGCCAGCGGAAGGATTAATGGGGTCGAACTGCCCTGAGCTGTGTAGGCTCTAGAGGTTCTTGAAAGTATGTTCTAAATTGTGTGTCACTTTTTAAAAATTTTTATTCTTTTTATTTATTTTTTTTTAAAAAATATATTTTTATTGATTTCAGAGCGGAAGGGAGAAGGATAGAGAGATAGAAACATCAATGAAGAGAGAGAATCATTGATCGGCTGCCTCCTGCATGCCCTCTACTGGGGATCGAGCCCACAAACCAGGCATGTGCCCTTGGCCGGAATCGAACCTAGGACCCTTCAGTCTGCAGGCCGACGCTCTATCCACTGAGCCAAACCAGCTAGGGCTATTTATTTTTTAAAATATCTTGTATTGATTTCAGAGAGGAAGGGAGAGAGAGAGAGAGAGAGAGAGAGAGAGAGAGAGAGAAACATTAACGATGAGAGAGAATCACTGATCGGCTGCCTCCTGCACGCCCCACAGTGGGAATAGAGCCCGCAACCCAGGCATGTGCCCTGACCGGGAATTGAAACGTGACCTCCTGGTTCATAGGTCGACGCTCAACCACTGAGCCACACCGGCTGGGCTCTGACATTCCTTTTTTTTTTTTTTTTATCAAGATGAGGTCAAGGAGTGAGTGGGATGATTCTGTTGTATTTTGGGTGTGTGTGTGTGGATTTAGGGTCAGTCATGAGCTTTCTTCCTTTCTCTCCTAACGCTCAGGTCATCAACGAGAGAATCGCCGAGTTCTCCCTCTCGGGATCCCAGAGGCACATCGGTGCCGTGCTCAGCTGCTGCCAGGGCGTCCTGTCCACACCGGCCCTCGCGGTCATCTACGCGGCCCGGCAGGAGCTGCTGGTGGCCCTGCTGAGCCAGCTGTGCTGGGCGGCCTGCCGGCAGCCAGAGGCCTCCGCCGCGGCGGCCCCGCTGTTCGAGGTCACTCACCTGGCCCTGGGCCATTACCTCCTCGGTCCAGCAGCAGC